CAAGGATGCATTTTCAGGGCTATGCTTCCTCTGCAGAGGAAACTCTGGAGACGATCACAGAAATCACACACCAGTATTTTGCATTCAGTTACTATTTGGTTTGCTTAGAAGTTATGGCAAAGTTGGGCATTACTCAGCTTTTGCCTTTGCAACAGCAATATTTCCTCGCAGTACAGTCACAATCAAACAGTCTTCGACATTCCACTGATCCCAATGTTCATGCCTCAGTCATAGCCCTTGAAAAAGATTAACCCCCTATCACCTGTGCTTAGTTAGAATAAAAGATATCAATGTACTGCATGAAAACAATATTATAAAGACAATATACTTGCAAAAAAAAATAATTCCCAGAGCTCTAAAAATAAAGCTACATACCCAGGGCGGGGCAGGGGGGGGGGGGGAGAAGAAGGGAGGGGGCAAGTGGGTTTCGTTTTTTGTTTTTTGTTCCCCCCCCCAGTTACAAAATCTTAAAACCCAAGCTATAAATGGCAGGTAACGTTTGCAAAGAAACCCTGAATTCAGAGAATACTCATGTAAGCTGATTCATACAGGAACTTTCTAATCAAGTCAGTCATTTGTGACTCAATGAGTAGGTACTGACAGATACTTGGCAAAAATCTGAGCAAGACTGTATGTTCATGGGACGCTGACCAGCTTCCAACCCAGACATTCCCGAGCCAGTTGTTTTCCCATGTGACACCACAGTCCACTGGTCTTCACAGAAGCACTGACCCATCTTCCATCAGACATTAACATCTCACATGTCCCAAGGAGGCAAGCCCAAGGTCTAGCTACAGCAACCATCACTTCAAGTTTGCAAGTGACAAAATTGGTGGGCTTCAGAGACCACCAAGACATCTTCAACAGCTACCAATTCTGACTGCTCTGAATTCATCCTCTGGGTCAGCTGGTCTCAGAATCACTGCTCCTAGAGGCAGCAACGCTAGACTTGAGCTTCTCAGGAAAAACAAACAAAACAAAACAAAAAACACCACCACTTTTCCAGAGCACCCACTTGGTCACCTTGAAGACCAGATACTGAATAGATGGATCCTGGGCCTGACAACATGTTTATCCTTGATTAAGATAAAGCAGGCTAGCAATAGCAGCCAAAGCTCAAACCCTGAGGGAATTGTGCAGTGATCTGGAGAGCTCAGCTTATTCTCCTTGACACCGAACAGATTTAGATTCTCGACCACTATTTCTTCTAAGGTTCTGCAGCAGTATTCCGTGACCTGCAGCCTGGGGACTAATACTTCTCTGGAAGACACAGAGATTGCAGGCCATTGCAAAAGAAAGCAAATAAATTTTTTCTTCCCCCCAGCTCACACAGTTAAAAATGCAGAAGAGTAAGAAAACAATTGTTCTAACTTTAGACTAATTACAGTTTAGTTTTAAGACAAAACTCTTGGCTCTACACTGGTAAATTTGAACACTGGGTTTTTCCACAAAACTTGACAAGCAGTGCTATGAAGTGCCTGCAGAGCACCACACTGAATAGGAAAGGGCCATTTGAAGACCTACCTAACTACATCCCACAATAGACTTATTTGAAGATACCACGTGTGGTTTTTTTAAACACATGCACTCCATGAAGACTCTGGCCAGCACAAAGTCTTTGAAGTATACTATTTCAGAAAAAAAACCCAACTGAAAATAATCCTGCTCCGTTTTCAGGAGTTACTCCACAACACCCTGATAAGGTCCAACTGTTTTGTTATTTCCCACAGAAGAGGAACACCATGCGAAGTCAGCTGTAGTGCATGCACACAGAAGGATCCTAGGGTTCACAAGGCTACTGGTTCTATTCACAGCCTCATGCCTCAGATGAGGCTAAACCTGAGGAGAAGTGCTCACACCGTGATACAAGAGGACATTTCTTTTAACCTGTATATGGAGTTGAGATCCCCACACGCCACTTATTTAACAAAAACACAGGAAGTCCTTACTGCTTTTGAAGTAATTGTAATTCCCTGCATTGGAAGCACACACATTCTACCATTTTGCCATCATATAAATATCATCTTACAAATTTTAACAGGATCTTAGTTTGAGAACTGTAAGAAACAGATAATGCTAGCTAACTACTTTCAAAGATGACAAGCACGTTAGAATGATGGAGAATGTCTCTGTATTTTTTTACTGCTTGGCAATATATGAACATGAGAAGAATCACGCACACTATCTTAAAGATTATGCTAACCACCATACAAGGTCAAGCGATCAAGGCAGGAGGAAGGCAGCAAAACTGGAAACTGCCGTCTTTGAAGCAGAACATGCTGATTAAAATATTTGTTATTAAACATGAGTAAAAGAAAACAAATGCCTTCAAAATTTTTCACTGACCTCCTTAATGCCTTGACACCACCATTCAGATCACAGTTCTAAGAATGGACTCATAAGGAGCATGTCTAAAGAAGAGCAACAAAGCTGGTGAAGGGTCTAGAGCCCAAGCCTGATGAGGGGCGGCTGAGGGAACTGGGGTGGTTTAGCTTGCAGAAAAAGAGGCTGAGGGGAGACCTGATCGCTCTCTACAACGACCTGAAAGGAGGTTGTAGCCAGGTGAGGGTCGCTTCTTTGGGGGTTACTTCTCCCAAGTAACAAGCGACAGGACAAGAGCAAATAGCTTCAAGTTGTGCCAGGGGAGGTTTAGATGGGATATGAAGAAGAATTTCCACACTGAAAAGGTTGTCAAGCATTGAAACAGGCTGCCCAGGCAAGTGGTGGAGTCACCATCCCTGGAGGCATTTAAAAGACGTGTAGATGTGGTGCTTAGGGACACGGTTTAGTGGTGGGCTTGGCCGTGCTAGGTTAATGGTTGGACTCCATGTTCTTAAAGGTCTTTTGCAACCTAACCGATTCTATGGTTCTGTGATCTACTTCCTTTCAGTGGGTGATTACAGAGCCCTAACTCAGTAGGGCAGTATGTTCCTAAACTGACAACACCCCCCCAATGTATGCCAAAATGTACTACTTAAGATTTTTATTTCACACAAAAAAAGATAGTATCAAACAATAGCTAGAATATTGGCAGGAGCTGCAATGCAACCACTAAAACCAGACACTATCTTCCATTTCTGTTCAGAAAATTGAGTAGGACGCAGAAAGTACAAACACCAAAGTTCAAGTTAGGATTTTTTTTTAGCACTGAAGGAGGGGCGTACACTATTTCAACCTCAGGTAAACCCAAATTCAGATATTAAAACAAAGTGCAGATACTTAGAGCAGCCTTTCTCCTCCCTCTTTTTCTTTTCTGAAGCTGTAGTCCTTACGGCAGCTTCCAACACTGGATTCTGGCTGTCAGTTGAGACTTACCACAAAGATTTTGTGGCAATGCTGGTATACACGTGCATGATATCTGCACGCTGTACAGCCATCAGCACTGCATGTAAATGTACACACTTCCCTGTTGTACAATCATACAATATGTAGCTTAGTCCATGGAGCACATTGTGACCATGGGGAGGAAAAAAAATAATTTGTTTTTCAGTTCAGGCTCCAGACAGAGCAGAGAAGACAAGCCCATCTCCACAGCACTATTTCAGAATCAAGTCGTGATGCTGTTTAATCCTCAGAAGTGTTTTAGTGTTAAACCAACTACAGCTAGAAATGTGTAACTTTCTGAGTTATTTCGGCCTGCAAGGTAATGAAGTCAGATATGACAACAGCAAGAACCGCCATCTAGAAAATTGCAGAGTGTGGCCCAATTAGACCCGTGTCTAAGGCTTGAGAACTCCAGTACTCAGTTCACTGATGGGGAGCGAGCTAGATTTCAAGGTTGTTGGCCTCGATTATCTGGCTCTGAAGGTCTGTATTATTTCAGTCTTCACACATTAGCATCCTGACTTCAAAAAAAAGCTTTTAAATGAGTGCCAGTGGTAAATGGACAGGACTACTCATGCAGTCCGCTTTCTCTCATTACAGATCCCAGAACTACCACTAGAGATAAATTATACAGATCTCAGCTACATCAAATGCCACGCCTCTCTACCTCAGATTTAAATCTGATCTTAGTGTTAGGGAAAGGGTAGGTATCATGCTTACCACTAATTTTAGGCAACTGAGGCAACCCAACTTCATATGGAAGTAAGCTGGACCAGTGTCTAGGCCAGACTTTTAATTGCTCAAAACCAGAGGCTTAAAGTACGGCCATCATGATTTCACTGGCTTTACTTTAGGATTACCCATATAACTATTTGGAGTTGCTAAGGCATAAATGCATTAAGTCCATCTGTCTAGATTCTTCAAAAACTTTTAACCACAATGACTTCTTTTTATGTTACCTCCACCACCACTGGAAACATTCACCGCTGTACTCATTCACATGGCAAAAGGTAGCTATCTACAGTACACAGCAGCACTACAACAGTAAGTTCAGCACAGAACTGCAGTACCGCCGTAACACCATCTGCACACATCAGGCTCTTCCCAAATCAATTCTGCACTTACTCCATCTACAAGACTTAATGATGGGATTGGACACTACCAAGTGACAATTTGACACCAGCTCTGGTATACCAAGAGACTTCTTAATTGATTTGTGTTATGAACACCATGAACTAGTAGCAAGGTACTTCCTGACTGACAGAGTAAGCTTCCAAATTTTGCCAGTAAAAGGTGTTTAAGGTCCTCTGAGACTGTGGTTCCTGAGCTCCTACTGCCAACAGGCCAGTAGTTTTGGATAAGCCTCAGTATTAGCACAGGCAGCACACAAAACGGTACCTGTCATTCATGACCATGATTGCTCCATACATTGTTTTCAAGGGATCTGCTTCTTCAGAGGTACAGAAACATTTTGTTCACCATTAGCGCTGACCTGCAGGCTTTACTCTGAGTGACAGCATAAATCCACATAGTTTTATGGATTAAAATACTGCTACATCTCGCCACAAAATAGTTTAGGGGAAAAGAAGTTAGTTTCCTCTACATAAAGCAGTTTGAAAATAATTTTGTTGAAAGATGCATGCACATGAATGGAATTGGACCATTTATTGTCTTACCTTCTTAGATCTCCAACAGCGACAGTACACGGCCTTGTCTCCCAGATCTTCCATATCAAATGCATGGACTACCTTGGGGTTATCCTTCTGGATATGGGGATTCACCATTGCTTTGCAGCATTTGTCTTTAGAGAGAAATTTTTTGTAAGCTAGATACCCAACAGCAGCCGCTCCAGCAGCTAACGAGACTGCAGCAATCCATTCAACTAGAATAAAAGAGAAGAAAACAAGAGAGACTGTTAGTTTTGGACCACAACATTCTATTAAAACTACTCACTAGTAAATGTCTTCATGCTCGTGGCAACACCTTTACTTTCCAACAGACCTTTTTGTTCTGTCGTAGTAACGCAGTACTTTAGAAGAATATTTTTTTGGGACACTCACCTAGTTAATCTACTCCTTTCTACTGATCAGAGTTCTCCTTCATGCCAATCCCTCCTACACAAGGGTGAAGATTAACCTGGCAGGGTTTTGGGTTTTTTTTTTTAGGAATCTCCGATACTACCATCAGTAGTATAGCGTTTCCAAGTTCAGCACATTAAACCAGCTATACGTACACTCTGTAGCAGCAAAAACACTCCCTCTTTGTTTCAGTTGCAGGGAAGTTACTAAAGAAGAATGCCCAGCACCAACAACCCAAGCAAGATCCCCCAAGGTATGGGTATTGAGTAGCTTTTAATATAATGCATCTCGTAACTAAAAAAAGTTAACAGGTGTTTGGCAACAGGGAAATTATTTAATATACTACCACCAGGAACAAAAGCCAGCTTAGATTAAATCCCTACTGTGGTGTACAGGAAAGAACAAGGATCCAAAAAGATTATATTTAAGAATAATAGCACAAGTTTATTTTAACTGGATTAGGTCCTGACTCTCTGAAATACGACTTCCGTTAAAAAAAAATAAATCGTCTTTCCACCACCTCTCATCCTCGCTTTTCCTCCCTCTAGTTATCTCTAAAATCTTTGCAGTCTTGCTCACTTAATATATTTTCCTTTTCTGCAAGTTTTCCTACTTTTTTTGTGGCTTTATTGTTTTCCCTCTGCCTCATGAAAATATGCTGGACTTTGTCCCGAAGGTTCTGGTTCTGGGAACAGCCCCAGCCGTTTCTCTCAGAGCAGCGGATGGCTGATCTTTCCTGGCTTTTTATCCACCACTTCTCTTCATACACATAACATGTACATAGAGAGTTCGGCTGCCTCTACAGACAAATAAATGAAACAAGAACTTAAGTTTTAGCACATTTACACAACTAAGAAAACTAGAACAGTCTCCAGTTGGTAATTTCTATCTTGCCCTTCCGTGTTTGCATCGGATTTGAAAGATGCCAAGCCAGATGGCATCTTTGGAGCAAGAGACATCACTACATTAAAGGCCAAGAAGAAACAAAAAGCCTTTGTCAGTTCTTGCTACTTTCCACAGCCAACTGACTTGCTGTATTGCCACAGTCAGCTTGCACTAAAAGTATCACGAAGGTTTTCTGCCCCGTCCCACAGCCTTTTCTAAAATCCATGCCAAGCCCTTTCCTCAGCTACAACACTGTTAGCTCATACGCACCAGGCTGACGCACAAGGGTCTGGATGTAGCAGTACGTGGAATTAGACAAATACTTGTACCATGTCTGCAGCCCTGTAAGATCAAGGAGGGCAGCCACTCCTTTAGAGTCTTACTAAAGGAGTAAAAGATGCAGAAATCCTTCAGAGTTCATTTTCTTAGTAAATGAAGCAGAAGAGACCAACATACACCGAGACCCCGCCTGCAAATGAGTGACAAACCCTCCCTGTAACAACAAGGTGATATTAGGATACAGAAAACCATCTTTAACATCAAAGAATTTAGGGCACGTTTCCCTGCTCCTAAGCTCCTTAAAACAATAAAAGTCCCAGAGAGCATATTGTGATTTCAGTGTTTTATATCCATCCAGCGAGTTCTCACCTCTTCATTTCCCCAATACAAACTAGCCAGAGTAACGCATTCACTTTAATGGGTAAAGTAGCAATGAGGTGAAATTAAAGATGAGATTCTATGAAAATCTGCTTTAATCGAGCAAAACAGCCCAAATTAATCCAAAGAACAGTCATAGCTTAAATCAGAGGCGGCACGTTCTCCCAAAGAAAGCAACCGCAGAGAGTCTGCAGCCTCCTTTCTCCTTCTCGCTTGAGCACGTTTCGCCAAGCAGAGCAGGGCTGCGGCAGGGAGGAGGTACTCAGCCAGGTCAGGGACAAGCTGGGTCTGACAAGTTTAAAGTGATTTGTGATGAAATGTCAAGTGCAGCTACAACAGCAGCAGACAAAATGGAGGGATTGCCCATACTGGGGATTTTGGAAAAGGAGCAGTTGCAAGGATTGCCCAAGCTGCTAACCGATACGTCGCCGATGGATCAAATCTTAACCAACATTTTTAAATAACTGATGAGGGGACAGTGATAGACTGT